GGAGCCAGCATGGTGCTCAGGTGGCCAAGAAGGCCATCGGTGTCCTGGCTTGTATCGGGAATAGTGTGGCCAGCAGGGGTAGGGAGTTGATCGTGCCCCTGTACTTGGCACTGGTGAGGCTGCACCTGGAGTACTGTGTTCAGTTTTGGGCCCCTCGCTACCAGAAGGACGCTGAGTTGCTAGAGTGTGTCCAGAGAAGGGCAACGAGGCTGGTGCAGGGTCTGGAGAACAAGCCTTATGAGGAGCGGCTGAGGGAGCTGGGGCTGTTCAGTCTGGAGAAGAGGAGGCTGAGGGGGGACACTACTGCTCTCTACAACTACCTGAAAGGAGGTTATAGTGAGGCAGGTTTTTGTCTCTTCTCCCAGGTAACTAGCGATAGGACAAGAGGCAATGGCCTCAAGTTGTGTCAGGGGAGGTTTGGATTAGGTATTAGGAAACATTTCTTTACCGAAAGAGTGGTCAGACATTAGAATAGGCTGCCCAGGAAAGTCATGGAGTCCCCATCCCTGGAGGTGTTCAAAAAACATGTAGATATGGCACTTTGGGATGTGGTTTAGTAGGCACGGTGGTGTTGGATGGATGGTTGGACTTGATGATCTTGATGATCTTAGAGGTCTTTTCCAACCTATGATTCTATAAATCCAGTGTCCAAAGGAGCTCTGTGCCCAAGCTGGTTTTCAAGCCTTTGCTGTGAAACGCGTGCATGTGCTCTTGTGCCAAATAGCTGTTTACAAATGTGTTCTTGAGACATAAGTGTTGTGTGCCATGAGTTCAGTCAATCTCAGTGCATAGTTACAGTATTGAGTACCTTTGTGTTATGTGCATGTGAAAGTCTGGAGGACTGAACTGTGGACTTGGAGTGAATAATGTGTGTTAATGTGATGCTGTTTCTTGATACTAGCAAAGCCAGTGGTGGTGAATGCGACACCAGTGCGGATGTCTGTTCCCATAGTGCCAGCACAGACTGTGAAACAGGTGAGCTAAATGTAAAAGGCATCTTCCTGACTTACTGTGGCTGGACAGGAAAAAAAAAAGTCCAGTTTCAGCACTGTTAATAAAAGTGCATTCTGAATCAACAAAATTATTTCATAAAGACCTCTTTTCTCTCCAGGTGGTGCCTAAACCGATCAACCCACCTTCCCAGATAGTTACCACTAGTCAGCCCCAACAAAGACTTATTATGCCAGCCACTCCACTGCCACAGATACAGCCCAACCTCACCAACCTCCCGCCCGGCACTGTCCTGGCACCAGCACCTGGCACAGGAAATGTCGGGTATGCAGTCCTTCCAGCTCAGTATGTCACACAGGTATGGTGTTAACCCAGAGATAAATAAGGAAATAGTGCTGTTGTGGAACATACTGCCTTCCTCTTAAAGGTTCTTGCTCCCTAACTGTCACTTGGCACTAAGGGGACAGACAGTTTCTTTTAGGGATCCTTGGCAGAATCATGATGGCACTAAATTGTAGTTACAATTAAAGCTTTGTTTTCTTAACAGGATTTTTTTATTAGTATAGCATATATTATGTAATCAGAATAGCACAGGATTTCTGTAAGCAGAATCAGTGTGGTACAATTTTATAAGTAGCATAGTACAGAATTTCTAATACAACTTAACTTGTTATTATTATAATCACCTAGACCCTCTTCAGGTCGGGTCAGATCTCAATACATGGTTTGCTTTATCAGTATAACAATCGTGATCTAGACTTGAAAATCGTGTAAAAGAATCCAAGCCACTCACTTGATCCTTGGAGGAAGCAGGTGTCAGTGGAGGTATTCCTGGCCACCAGGGGTCAGGTGTCTTGCTGTCCAGCAGCAGCTCCAGTGCAGGTTCCTCATTTAGGACTTGTAACTGCTTGATTTTATAGATGGTGCTCTGTGTGCTGTTACGCTTCCCTGTTCTGTGACAGGGTCATCACCGCCACCTGGTTGTCTGGGTGTCTGAGACCTTCACGGCCTGTAAGGAAGGGAGTAACTGGCCTTGTACCCAGCAATCTTGAGACCAGTGATGAGGGGAAGAAGAAATCTGTTTAGTTTGTCTACTTGGTTCACAGGACCTTCAGGGCCTGGTAATGAAGGGAAAGGGAATGAATATGTGACCCGCTTGGTCACAGAGAATGGCTGCTTGCATAACTAACTCCATTTTAGAATGCTAACCAGGAGTAGGGGTTACCGGTTGCACCAGGCCTGGTCTAGGGATTAGTTTTTTGCTCTTTGCCAAGATCTGACCAACATTCAGAATGAAAAGGAGAATAAATGAAACCTTCTGTTGAAGGCTGACCAGCCAGTCTGTACAAACAAGGACTCTGTCAGCTCATGGCATTACTGGTACCAACCTCATTTCTGGTTCCCTTCTGGTTTTGTCAGTTGCAGCTTGACCCTGATGAAGACTCTCGCTGTGCCCTTCCAGTTGACTTCCACGAGTCTTACCTTAAACTAAATAATACCATTTGTTGGACCTCTCCTCAAAGGTTTTGTGTTCCAGACGCAATCTGTCCATTTTGCCTGGCCCCAGTAGGTCCATATCTTGTTATGTGCCAGTCTGTCTTCAGAACCTGTCCCAGCAGGAGAAAATGGCTGTGCATAGGTAATACAAAAGAAGGTAGCCCAAAACAGTGTTGTTTGGCAGGTTCTTATGAGGTTTGGGTTTTTAAATGTGAAGAACAAACTGGGTGCAGGTATGCAGAGAAGTTGGGATGTAAATCATTTTACTTGCTTTTATTTAACTCCGTACTAAATGGCTTGTATATTAAGGAAGCTACTAAAGTAATTTGCACAGGAAGCGATCCTGCTCTACTAGGGGCAGGGTTGCTTAGGAAAAGAAGGGGGGGAAAATGAACATGTTTTTAGGAGTTGGAATTGTTTGTGGTCTGAACATTTCTTTGCTTAGTCTGTGTTATCTGTATGGCTGTAGACATGGTAATAGAAAACAAAAATATCATTTAAAATAATGTTCTTGCTAAGTATGGAGGCAGTAGGTTACTGCCTGGTCAAAGTTCTACAAATCTCCAAAACTGTGCTTACAGGCATATTATTTTTATAACAATGTCTGGAAAGCGAATTAAAAGACTAGCTATACATCCTCTTGTGTATACTTTAAATTCTTTTGTTACGCATTAACCTTTTTGTTTTGTTAGCTACAACAATCATCATATGTATCTATAGCAAGCAACACTGGCTTTACAGGGACATCCAGTATCCAGTCCCAAGCACGGCTACCATTCAATGGGTGAGTGTTTTTTAAAAACAAACAAACAAACCTGCAGTGCAGGCTGCTGAATGAGCATCTTCGTTCTGTCCTATTATAAGGAAGGGTGGGAGCTGGAGCCTTGGAGTTTGGTTTGGGAGATTTTCTAAGAAAATTAAGTATACTGCAGTGTGGTTATTACCTCTGGTTAAAGGACATGGTTCTGTCTGACAACTGAGCCATTCTCTTGATCAAAGCTGTGTTTTTCTTTGTGTTTTTTGAACTCATGTAGCAAGAAGTTCACCTGAAAAGCTCCCTGTTGCTCATTCTTCATTTTGCATCAGCACCTGGGAGCTACAGGCCTCAACTGTTTCTGGACATTGCTGGAACGAGGTGCTGGGTGATATAAAACTTAGCACATGTAGAAATCTAGCTGAACAGCAAAACAGAATTAAAGCCCAAAATGGATGCTGATAGGAGGCTTTGTGTTTTTTCCAGTCTTTTTTTTTTTTCCTTTAAGGATGAAAATAATGGCTAACGTATTATTTTCCCTTTTGCCAGTCCATCAGGCTTAGCTGTTCTGCACAGTCCTTTTGTGTCATTGTTTGCTGGAAATTGTAAATGCCAAAGTGTTTTTTGTTGCTGCAACCTCAAATGATGGAAATTAATCCCAAATCCAGATGCAGCTATTCAAACAAATGGGTTTGATTTAATCTCTGTGGTATTACGTGCAGAAATTGCTGGGATAGGGATGGAACACATCTCATCAAAAGTGATTAGTGACACAAAATCCAAGTTTTAAGAGCAGTTAGAGACTATGTCTGATATAAAATTTATCTATGAACTGAATATCATGTTTTGGCTTGTTTTCCCATTGTTCTGGAGCTTTTTTTGATTCCAACTAGAACAAAAGGAGAGGCACAATCCTGTTGTGTCCCCCTGCATATAAAGGGGTTCTGGGGAAGTTTTGTTTCCGATTCTAGTTTTTGGTTCTGATGCTTCCTCTAGCTTTAAGCCTCATCTCTGCTTTAGGCATGCAGCCAGATGTGCAACAAATAACCCAGCTCTTTCTGGGTTGGAAAGGCACTGTATAAAGGCACTATATATAACAGTTACTTAAACGCAGTCAGCCAAAAATATTTTGTTCAAGTTTTATTATAAAATGGGAAGAAATTGATAAAACAGTGTGCATGTATATAAATGCACTTTTTCGCCCCCACAGAATAATTTCTTCTGAATCTGCAAACCGCCCGAGGAAGCCTTGCAATTGTACTAAGTCTCTATGTTTGAAATTGTAAGTACAGCTTGGTTTTGGTTTTCTTAAGCCTTGTTTTTGATATCACAAATCTATGCCAAGTATCAGAATATAATGTTTTTAAGTATGTCAGAAATGTTATTTCTAGATACTAATTTATGATTGCTGTTGATATTGGTGGAGATCTTGCAGCGTCTGTGTAATTTTGCAACTCCTGTGACCTATAAGGACCGTAACATTTTATAAATTTCTAACTTTGCAGCCTTGTTGCATGGTGGAGCCAATTCCACCTAGCAGCTGTAGTTGTGTTGTTATTGCTAGGAGTGAAATGACATCCCACGATATCATCAGTGGGCATCTACTATACTTTGAAGTGCATCAGTAATACCATGCTGTGTCAAGTACTTCAGAAAAATTGGGCTGGTGTATCTTTTCTTAAATAACTGAACAGACAAGTGATTCTTCACTGACAGGTCTGAATCTTGCTCATCCTTATGAGATATTTTGCTATTTCATTCAGTGTCTTTGTAAGAATATGACATAAAAGCATTTTAATCTGAGGAGATGCTAAGTTTCTTTAACTTCAGGCAAGGTTAGTTTACCAATTTTGGGGACAATAACAGGAGGAGATGCTGAAATCAATCTGTGGTTCCCCGAATCCTAGACAATGAAGAGGAAAGCAGTGGTGTTCTACTCAAAGGGAAGTGATGCAACAGCATATGAACCCAAGTTTAAAAAAAAAAAACACAGCTTGGTTTTTTTTTCATGTAATGTACGTCACCTCCATGTGGGGAGGTGTGCCCTGTGCTTCCTAGCCTCAGAATTGTCTGTTGCATAGAAGACATGGTAAATGGGAAGATGTGTAGCTGTTTTTTCAGATGTTTTACAGTACATATGACTGACTTCATAGTGCCAAATGTATGTTAGATGCTTTGGGTTTTCCACTTATTTTAGTCTTTGTTACCTGAATGCTCTAGAAATTGTGGGAGAATAGTGGCATTCC